ATCCCTGGTTGCGTTCCGGGAGCTGAGCCGTGGCAGGCAGGGTGCTGGCCAGGGCAGGGTGCAGGGCTGAGCACTGACCTGCCGAGAAAGGCATGAAGGCGTCGCGCTTCCTGAACTCGCCCTTCCCATCCAAGAAGTGGCCTGGGTCGACTTCTTTGGGGTTCTCCCACTGGGTTGGATCCATATGGACGGAAGAATATACCGGAATAACAGCTGTGCCCTGCGGGAGAGGGATGGGCGAGCAAGGAGAGACATCAGACCCGCGGCGTAGGGCTCTGCTGAGCTGAATGAGCACATGAGGAGCATCTGGGGGGCACGGGGGGAGGCTGGGTGCACACCCCGATGCCTGTGGTAGCCCGGAGCGACGGCTCTGTTCCCAGCAAGGACAACTAATGTGGGGCTGGTTCTGCGCTCCCCATGGTCTCTGTGCAGCTCATGAGACAGAAATCATGGAGTTATTCCCACTGATTTATGTTAAGGCCCCTCTCATGCACAGAGTCCAGAGGATGGAGGTGTTCCTGCAAGGTGGGTGTCGTACAAGGCGCTTGCAGTCAAACCCGGACTGGGGATATGCCGAGGAGGTGGGGGCTGACTGGGCCCCATGCCGGAGCATGCTCAGGCTCCCAGCCCCAGCAACCCTGCAGATCTCCTTGGTGGGATGAGTTGTTTCCAGGACAGGCAAGGGACACTGGTGTGGACAGAACTGGCAGCAGCGTTCACCTCCCTCCACTCCTCCTTGAAAAGATTATCTCCATCTCCCCACACCGAGGACTGGGAAAGACCCGGGACCCTCATGGGAGGGCGAACAGTCCAGGGGCGAAGGAGAATCTCATTCAAGCCCTGCTGCCACCCCTCCCCTTGGGGACACAGAGAGTCCAGGGCGATGACATCACCTTGGGGATGGTGTGGCCCCTGAACACGACGTCCTGCGTCGTCATCCGTGGGAAGTTCTCGGTGCGGGACTTGTGGAAGCGCTGCATCTCATGGATCACCGCGTTGGTGTACGGCATCCTCAGCTTATCCTCTGTGCTGGGAACACGGCCAGGACCCACCACCGCATCGATCTCCTCTTGGACCTTGGCTGGGGAAGAGGCAGGCGTGGAGCTGTGGTGCTTCCCCTGTGATTTCCCACTGCCCTCCATGGGCACCTATCCTAGCGCCAAAGGATGACCTAGCAGAGAGGGAGCAACCCGGCATAACCCCTCGTAGAGAGCAGAAGTAGGGCCTCTGTCCGCATCCTTAGATCAGGCAGGTTCAAGGCATGTGTCATGGGCCAGTCTGGGGACATCCGCACAGGCAGGGATGGGGAGAAGGGAGCAGGTACCCAGATCCCTCTGGCCTGTGTGTATCTGTGTCTGATGGCTCTCACCGTTGGGTGACCCATGCAGGAGGATGTTGGTCTCCCCCCAAATGGGACCCTCCCAGGGCTGGGGCTCTCTATCAGCACCTTTGCTGCACCGTGACCTCCTCAGGCGCAGGGAGCAGTCACATTTTGCTGCCCTTACCTTGAATATGGGGGTATTTTGCCAGGATCAAGAGGAAGAAGACCAGGCTATTGCTAGTGGTCACTGTCCCGGCACCAAAGAGGTCGAATACTGACATGACCAAGTCTTCATTGCTGTATATGCTTCTCTTCTCCTGAAAGGAGGCAGTGGGGAGGGGATTCAGTATCATCTCAGTGGTGTTCTGGGCTGCAGCCAAGTCTGGACAGTAGCCCTTGCCCCGCTTTGCACCACCTCTACCTTCTCTGCTTTCATAAGGAAACAGTCAATGTAGTCCCGGGGGCAGCTGGGATCCAGTGTCAGCTTGTGAAGCTCCACTTTTTCTCGGATGTAGTCCTTCAGCTTCTCACACTCATCCAGGGCTTTCTTGTGTGGCCCTGGGAGGTGGTGCATGATGTTGGGGAAGGTGTTGTAGACCTGCAGATGGAGGAGGCACAGGAGGGCTCAGGTGCCTGGATGGAGCCTCCTGCACCTTCCCTCAAAGCCATGCTGTCCCACCAAAGACAAGGAGTGACCCAAAGCCAAGGAGCATCTCTTGACTGCCTGAGCATGTCAGACACAAGGGCACTAAGCACAACAAGGATGCCTACCATGGCGATGGGGGAGAGGAAGAAGCTGATGTAATTCCCGATCATGTTCAGTAGCTCCAGAAAGGCTTTGTCGCTGTAGCTGTAACGGCTTCCGAAGACAACGGAGCAGATCACGTTCGCAGCTGCATGTCTGAACATTGTCATTGGCTCGAAGGCATTTCCTGCAGCCACAGAAGAGGCAAAAAAGGCATCAAAAGGTCAACTGTTAGTTATCTGCTTCAACGCAGAAAACACCCTGCTTGCCCCTTCCTTTGAGCTCTGAGCCCTGGTTGGATCTGCCTCGTCTAACAGCCAAAGCAAAAAGCTGTGGGCTCCTAAATCTACCTCCCTGTTCCTAAACCTGTCTGCAGTGTTGGGGACTGAGGAAAGCAGAGGCCCCTCCAGGTGCTCTGGGCTCCTACTGATGTGCCCTGGGGATCTGGGGGGGCTGCAGAGCATCTCCCTGCGGTGACAAGCCCCTCGCCAGCACCACGCATCAGCAGCAGAGAGGCCAGCGTACAACTGAGCCTCCATCTTTTATATTCAGGAAGCCCCAGAAGAGGTGGTGGCACTGGTAGCAGCTCTGTTTTGCTGGACCGGGAGGACATCACCCTGATAACCTCCCTGTCACCAGGGCGGTATCCGATCTGTGCATTCTCAATGCCATGCAGTTTGGTTTCCTATTTCTGTTCTTTAGACATGAAATGTTCCTGGGTGGTCCCCCACCCCGTGCACCAATTCAGGAGCAGGATCTTCCACCCTGGCCTTTAAGCCATGACCATACCACATCCCTTCTACCCTCTCTGGGTGGGATGGGGCTGGGTCTAAGCCCTCTCTCTACAAGGATCATCCACACCAGCCGTTGCAAACAGCTCTGGGGATCACAAATGTCCCATGAGACTGTTGCGTGTCCTCCACCTGTCCTGGGGAGGATGGACAGGACCCATGTCACCTCTGAGTTTTGCCAGCAGGTCCACCAGGTGCTGGGCCTCCTGCTGCACTCGCCACGACATGGAGCTCTTGCCCATCCCGAAGTCCCGCAGGGTGCTGAGCGTGAACCTCCGTAGCTCCCGCCACTTCTCCTCGTCATGGGAGACAAAACCTGGAGGGAAGCAGTGGAGACCATTCACCTGCCTGCCCCACCACTCCTCCTCAGAAATGAGACACCCTGCTCTGAGCCCGGCTGAGGAGCAGAAGACAACCCTGGTGTGTGCACAGCATCCTTAACAGGCTGAGGATATCTACAGAAACTCAGAACAAAGCTGGAGCTGGCTAACTGGAATTAATGTTGTCCTTGGACAGGAAGCTTAATAGATGGAGGGACTTGCAGAGTGGGAAACCAGTATTTGAGGTCTTGGGGCGTCAAGTCCTTCACTAGACTTGAGCATGGCCAGGTGCAGTCAAGGACTTTCTGCTCACCCAAAGAGCAACACAGTGCCTAGAAGAAACCCAGACACCTACCGTAGTCTTTCGATAGCTGCATCAGGAGGGGTATTTCAGGTCTCCCTCCAAACTCCTCGTAGTGGCCCAGCAGAGCATCCTTCACCACCTCGTACCCGCAGAGCACCACCGCCGGCTTCACACCCAAGCCGCTCATTTAATTTCAGATTAGGTCCCGTGGCCACATTGCTGATGAGTGCATGGGCAGGGAGGGGAAGCGCCTCACTTGCAGCCCGCGTCTTCGCCCCGCTCCCACCCCAGCCCTGTCCCTCTGGGGGTTCTGGTCCCAGTGCCACTCTGGGGGTTCAAAACACCATCTCTGGAAAGTAGCTCTGGATGGATGTTAGTGCCAGCACCATGGGTCCCTTACAGGAGGAGAAAGACTGCAATAACACTACTGATTATGCTCCCAGTAGCAGGGATTTAGGTAATTCTGGCAGAGCAGGAGAGGAGGGTGGGAAAGAGAGAAAAGAAAGGTGGGAGAAGAATCATCTGCATGATTCCCCCTTCATTTTGGCACAGGACATTCATACTTTCTCTGGCTGCCCTGCTGGGACTGGGAGCAGGTACAGCACTGCCAGCTCCTCTCTTACCTTCTCATAGGTCCTGTAGAGGGGCAAGATGTCCTTTTGCCATAAGTTGCCCAGAACGGGCCACGGGGCTGGTCCCGGAGGCAGCTGGCTTCTCTTCTTATCGTTTCTCCAGGCCAGGAACCACAGGACGGAGAGGAGGAGGAGGAGGGTAGTAAGCACTCCAGTCAATCCGACATCCATTCTCACCCTGTTCTGCTGAGCAGGGAAAACAATAAAGAAATTCCCCCTCCAGCGAGAAAATCACAGCTGAGCAGCGAGCAGAGGAGCCAAAACCTGCTGCCTCTGCCCTTCCTTGCGTTTCATATAGGTGCAGCGCTTCCCACATCCCCGGGGTCACCTCCTGCGCATCCTCCCACCACTCCCCGGGGGGTCATTGACACAGAAACGCTGGTTTCTCCCGGTCAAGCACATATCTGCCCCCACCATGTCGTAACGCAGGTCTCAAAGGTCTGACGTGGGGTGCTGGAAGCATTGCAACACCCTGCAGGCATGCCCTGCATGTTCCTGCGGTGCTGGATCACTTGTTGCTCGGTGCTCCCTTTCGGTGGCATGCGACGGAAGGAGATGTCACCATCCTGGCAAAACCTTGCCTGTCACCACCAGGCCATTGCTCGTTTCGTCGCTGCCGTGCTTACCAGTAAACGGAAACCAGGGAAGCCCAGGAGCAGGGCACATGCAGCTGGACAGGGTGAGTTTTAGGTTAGGTGACAATTTTCCACCAAACTTCTTTCTTATCCCTGGAGGTGTTCAAAAAACGTGTAGATATGGCACTGCAGGACATGGTTTAGTAGGTGGTGATGGGTTGACGGTTGGACTTGGTGATATTAGAGGTCTTTTCCAACCTTAATGATTCTATGATTCTATGGTTCAGATGGAAAATGGGAAAAACAACATTTTTGTTCTGAAAGATTTTAGGGTTCCACTTGGATTTTGGATGAACATCAACCCAAGTTATTGCAGTTGTTGCAGACATGGGGTTAACTCTTCCCTGGGCTTCTCCAGGCTCTTCAGGGTTCCTCCGATGCTTTTGAGCATCTCGCTCTGCACACCAGCACATCTGGCTGCACACGAGCACATCTGGCACTGGCTCAGCTGCCACCCCTCTGGTCGAGAGCACTCACAGCCCTTGGCCGAGCAAGCTGGTTACAAGCCAGCTCCCAGCAAAGGGTGAGGATTCTCCTGGAGGACAGGGCTGGAGGAAAAGAGAGAGGAGGTCTGATTTCATGCTAGTCCCTGCAGTGGACGGAGATTCTCAGCAGAGGGCATTGAGTGGTGCTCCTCGAGAGGAGCCTGAGATGTAACGCTGAGCCGGAGCAGAGCACAGCAGCATCCCCCGGCACCCAGCCGCAGGACGAACGGCGGAGCCTGGGCTGCGTTTGGGCAGCGCTGATGGAAACAGCCAGGACCTCCATGCTTGCAGCCTTTTTTGGCCACGCAGCGGGGCCGTTCGCAGGTGTCGGGCAAAGGGTGCTTGATGCCACCAGCCGGGCTCATCCCAGCAGGGCGCTGGGCGATGCTATCCTCAGCCACAGTGTGAGTCCTTACATGTACACAACAAATTTCTCTCAAATCACCAAAAAACAACTGGCAATGAACCTTCCACTGCCCTGGGACTGCTCCATTTCAATATTTCAGTTTTTTTCCCCCTTCCCCAGGCTGCTGGGGGCTGGAGGCGGCTCCACCAGCACCCCAAACGCACTCAGCAAAAGGGGTTTTGGGGGGAGAGGGTCCTGGTGGCTGGAGGGGCAGCCCCACAGCCCGGTGCCAGGAGCCCCATGGCTGAGACTTGCTGGGGCTGAGACCAGGAGTTTGCGGTGACTCACTTGTTTACCCTGTCCCATCATGTTCCGTCCCTGCTCTTCTCACAGATTGCTCTAAATTCTTGGCTTGGGTGCCCGCAAGAGCGGAAGTTTGCTCGCGGAGGTGATGTAGTGACTGGGACTTTGGCAGGGGAGTGAACAGCCTCTCGGTGACCGACACCATTTATTCTGTGGCAGCCAAACAATAAAAAGGAATCACTCGAGCAACAGGAAAAGAAAAAGACGTGGGCATTAATCTGAGCTGCAAAGTTTAAATCGGATGGAAAATTCCCTCTTCTGCGAGCGAGCTCAGGCAGAGCCCGTGGCCACCTGCCTGGAGACCGATGGCGTTGGACTGCGGCACTTACTCATTGCTACGGCAGGTGGTTTGAAAGCTGAATGTCTGTAATGCAACAAAAAAAAGCATTATTATGTCACATTTTATTAATTAAATGGAGAAAAATTAATTAAATGGAGAAAATAAACAAATCACACTGGGTGTTAGGAGTGCATGAGTCCAGGTAACCAGAGAAGCAGTTTAACAAGAAACAACTCCCAGGGATGATGAAACTTTGCCTTTTTCTTCTTCAACTGCTTGATGAAACCTTGCTTTCAGTTTCTCTTCATAATCTATAGAATAAATCAAACCAAAAGATGAGCAGTGTAGTGTCTCTATAGTATCTCTTGTCAAGTAGGCAGAGAAAAAGGGCAAGGTAGAAGCTGTTGAGTAAACTTTTGGCAACTGAGTGCCGTTGTGCAAGAAGGAAGCTCAGGAGGGAAGAGCACAGATGGGCTTCAGAGAAGCCACTTCAGCCCTGTGAGGGTCTGGGACCTAAAGTGAGCCCAAACCACTTCGTATGGACCCAAACCTGTTGCTATTTTGTCCGTCTTTCTACTGATTTTCTTATGAGGGCTCTTGGAGAGCAGGGGTCTGGAGAGGAGCAGACTGCGCCTCTCGGTGACCGACACCATTTATTCTGTGGCAGCCAAACAATAAAAAGGAATCACTCGAGCAACAGGAAAAGAAAAAGACGTGGGCATTAATCTGAGCTGCAAAGTTTAAATCGGATGGAAAATTCCCTCTTCTGCGAGCGAGCTCAGGCAGAGCCCGTGGCCACCTGCCTGGAGACCGATGGCGTTGGACTGCGGCACTTACTCATTGCTACGGCAGGTGGTTTGAAAGCTGAATGTCTGTAATGCAACAAAAAAAAGCATTATTATGTCACATTTTATTAATTAAATGGAGAAAAATTAATTAAATGGAGAAAATAAACAAATCACACTGGGTGTTAGGAGTGCATGAGTCCAGGTAACCAGAGAAGCAGTTTAACAAGAAACAACTCCCAGGGATGATGAAACTTTGCCTTTTTCTTCTTCAACTGCTTGATGAAACCTTGCTTTCAGTTTCTCTTCATAATCTATAGAATAAATCAAACCAAAAGATGAGCAGTGTAGTGTCTCTATAGTATCTCTTGTCAAGTAGGCAGAGAAAAAGGGCAAGGTAGAAGCTGTTGAGTAAACTTTTGGCAACTGAGTGCCGTTGTGCAAGAAGGAAGCTCAGGAGGGAAGAGCACAGATGGGCTTCAGAGAAGCCACTTCAGCCCTGTGAGGGTCTGGGACCTAAAGTGAGCCCAAACCACTTCGTATGGACCCAAACCTGTTGCTATTTTGTCCGTCTTTCTACTGATTTTCTTATGAGGGCTCTTGGAGAGCAGGGGTCTGGAGAGGAGCAGACTGCTGCAAGGCTTTGGGAGCCCTTCACTGTCAGCTGGTGAGACCTTGCTGCCTCAAAACCTAGAACAGCAGGGACAGGAAAAAACCCACATGGATGGACCGATGTGACATGACCAAAAAGACAATATTTTGACTTCTAAAAAAAGATTAAAAATCTATATAGAGATTGCCCAGGCCTTTGGATTTTAGTTTAATGTCGTGTTTTGGGACAAAACTCATGGAGAAATAATGTGTAAAAGCAATTGAGAAGCAGAGCAGCCCAGCCTGGCCCAGCATCTGCTGGAGGCTCCTGGTGCGCGGGGGGACGTCTGGTCCCAGCCATGCCCGGTCCTGGAGCCAGGATGGAGCCCAGTTCCTGCCTGCCATGCTGCAGCTCTTCAAGGGACGGGGAAAAGCATTGCTCTGTTAAATTGTCAAGTTGCTGGATCAGACCCAGAATATATCTGAGGGGTAGATTCAAGGAATTAGAAGAAATGATGCTCGTGGGGTATTTTTTGGTGTAGATGTGTGTTTGGAAAAGCTGCAAGGCAAACACAGAAGTGAGAGAAGATGACTCCAGTTAAATAAAGGAGTCAATAAACTGTCTGGGTTATTAGATCTAGGAAGATCTGCTGGAGGCAATCATAATGGCTGTTCCTGTCTCTCAGCCAGCACTTCTCTGCTGTCGGTATCAAAACGCCATGGGAAGGAGTGGGACACGTACCACACCACGAGGAGGAGGATGAGGAGCAGAGCCACGGCACGGCCGGGAACAGGGTCTGGCTGGGGCTTGCAGCTGCAGAAACACCAAGGCTGGAGGCACTCTTGAGGTCATCTCCTCCAAGCCCCTGCTCCAGCAGGGCCAGCGGCAGGAGGCTGCTCCGCACTGTGTCTGGTTGGGCTTTGAATATCTCCGAGGATGGACACTTCACAGCCTCTCTGAGCAACTTCTTCCCATGTCCAGCCACCCTCACAGTAAAATAGTATTTTCTTATGTTTAAGGAGAATTTCCTATATTTCAGTTTGTGCCCATTGCCTTTTGTCACTTGGCACCTCAGAGAAGAGTCTGGCCCTGTCTCCTCTACCCCTCTCCATCAGGCATTTCTCCACATGGATAAGATCTCCCTGAGCCATCTCTCATCGGAGCCATGCTCCAGGCCCTTAGTCTTTGCTGAACTCACTCCAGCATGTCCATGTCTCTCGTACTGGGGAGCCCAGCACGGGGCAGGACACCCAGATGTGTCTCACCAGTGCTGAGCAGAGGGGCAGGATCTGCCCCTCGATCTGCTGACGATGCTCTGCCTGAGGCAGCACAGGAGGCTGACAGCCTTCTTTGCTGTAAGAGTGCATCGCTGGCCCATGGTCAGCGTGGTGTCCACCAGGACCCCAGGGCCATCTCTGCCGAGCTGCTCTCCAGCTGGGTGGCCCCAGCATGTCCTGGTGCCTGGGGCTGCTCCTCCCCCGGGTAGGACCTGGCTCTTCCCTCACAGACCTTCATGAGGTCTCTCCCAGCCCATTTCTCCAGCCTGCCCGGGTCCCTCTGGATGCCAGCACGACCCTCTGGTCCATCAGCTGCTCCTCCCAGTTTGGTCTCATCTGCCAAAGTGCTCGAGGCGCGCCCCGCACCATCACCCACGTCATGATTGAAGATGTCAGACAACATTTCTG